TATCAACAAGTGAATCAAAAAATCAAGTGAATTAAAAATCTGATGAACAGAGTAAACTGGTGAATATGATAGAACCAGGGGCATAGAAAGGGAGTGGACTGACAATTCTCAGGGGAAAAGGGGGTGTGAGGGTGAGGGAAGAGACTGGACAAAAATCGTACACCTATAGACAAGGACAATCGGGGGAGGGGTGGTAAAGGCATAGGGTGGGGTGGGAACCAGGTGGAAGGGAGCTATGGGGGGAAAAAAAGAGGAACTGTAATATTCTGAACAATAAATATTTATATAAAAAAATTAAAAAACTGTCCTCAATGTGTATCAACAAATGCTGTCCCCAAGCCCTGGGCCTCTGCACAGCAAGAATGGTCGGGGATCAGCCAGCACCACAGTCTCTCGTGCTCCCACAGCCGGGTGCCTGAGGGGCTCCCTCACTGCCCACACACTTCCCAGGGAGCTCTGGGGCGCCCCCTTCTCCGGTGAATCCTTCATTATTGGCATATCCAATAGCCACACCCCTAACCGTCCCATCACTGTTCAGATGCTGTGGACTTTGAAATTGGTATTTGCATTTCCAACTCTGTTCTAGACACCTCCAATCTGATGATATAAAATACCCCACGCTGAGAAGGTGCAGAGCCGGACCTGTTGTCACGCACACATGCACAGGCACACATACACACGCGCACACATGCACACGCGCACACATGCACACACGCACACATACGCACACGCACACATACACACACACGCACACATGCGCACATGCACACGCACGCACACACACATACACACGCGCACATGCTACCTCGTCCCCTCCATAGCCGCTTCCACAACGAATTGCCCCATTTCCCACCTCACTTCTCAAGTCAAAAATGAGAATCCTCTTGCCTGCGTTCTGCCTTTCACCATTCCCACTTCTCCTACCCCCAGAACAGGTCTCCCACACCTCATTCCCAAAGAGATTCTGGATGAAGAAATCAAGCTTCCCAGAATCCTAAATTCTCTTAAACTCACTCCAAACATTCTTTATACTCCTTACTACTTATCATGGATATTCAAAGAGTTTTGTTCAAGAGAAAGAAATATCGAATTTAGAAATATTTACAAAGAACAATACCCCAAATAGAATATGAAGACATTAGTAACGGTGTTACAGGCAAAGGTCACAAAGACAGTGTCCTGGGGACAGAAAGGAGACAGTGCCGTGGGGACCAACAGCTTCCCATCAGACCTGAGCAGAGAGGACAGCAGTGGGCAGAACTAGGACGACAGTGGGGTGTACGTTCTTATTCTGCTTCTCAACGTCTTCCTGGAAACAACTCACGCATGTGAAGTGTGCTACGCCTATAAGCATATTCATTTTTACTTTATTTGCAAGAATTTCTCACCAGGAGCTACAGGCGAAATCATGGACGCGCTCTCGTACCCTGGCACCAGCTACCAGCAAAGCTGACGAAGGGGGCACCGCGTTTCCAGCCTGAAGGGCTGACCCAGACCCTCAACTGCACTGAGAGCTTCCTTCTCTCGCTCTCGACTGGGCCTCCTATGCTGATGGTGCAAACGAATATGAACGTGGAGCCACTTTAAGACGGGTCGGAGCTGCATCCCAGAGGCACTGCCATGCATGTCTCAGCCTTTAGACGATTCTCCTGTCCTGACCACTGTCTACTGTCACCTGTTTAAGACACTGCACACGGGAGGGCACAAGCATTACCCTACAAACCTGTCTCCCACTGGCCCGTGGTGCAGGCCTGGGGGACAGGATGGAGGGGGAAGGGGGGCAGGCCTGGGGGCAGAATGGAGGGGAGAGGAGGGGCAGGCAGAGAGATGAAGTGAAGTGGCATAGCCTGGCAGGTCCATTTTAGATTAAATAATTAATAGACTGACAGATCTCAGAGGGACGGGAGGGTGGGTGTTAACTAAATAACTTATATGCATATATGCACAGGCCATGGACACAGACAATAGTGCAGTGAAGACCTGAAGTGGGGCTGGGAACTGGTTGGAGGGGGTAAAAGGGGGAAATGGGGGACATCTGGAATACTGTCAACAATAAAAATACAAATTAAAAAATAAAATAAAAGCCATTAAGACACTGACCACCTTTACAAGAGGGCGGCTCCGGGACAGGACACATGGGTCATGGGGGGTTGCCTGCATGACTCCCTGGGGTGTCAGTTTAGCTCCGAGACCCAGGCTCGTGGAGCCGCCCGTGTGCGTGTGATAAACCTGGCGCTTTCCCTCGCCCGTGAGCGCGGGCGCTGGGCCCCTGGCCTTCAGAGGCGCATGTCAGCGCCTTCACAGCCCAGCCGCCCGCTCGATTCCCATCGCGTCTTTTTCTCAGCCCCCAGGCTCTCAGGGGGTTTGTCCTGAACGAGCCCTCGCCCTCCGAGGCCTCTTCCTGGGAACTCCAGCCGTACGTGGACCACACACGGGCTCCTCCTGTCTTTGTCATGAATGTGTATCGACAGGCTTGGCCAGACGATGTAACTAATGTAGCCCTCCCGGAACACCCATCCCCTTTACAAGAGAGAATTCCGAATCGCAGGGTCAGTGGGACACGTTATTGATTGATCGGCAGGAACTTCTAAAAGACAAAGGAAAGCCAGCTCCGAAGGACGGGGCCCTGAGCAGGTGCAGTAACCTGTCTTACTGCTGCCCGGCTGGTGGCTGGGGGATGGATGACCTCCAGCACCAAGAGGGGGGTCGGATTCCCCATCAGGGCACACGCCCCCCAGGTCCTGTGGCTCCAGCCCCTGGGGGAGGGGAGGTGGAGGGGCGTACATGAGGCAGCCAATCGATGTTTCTCTCTCTCTCTCCCTCTTGCTCCCTTCCTTTCTCTCTAAAAATCATTTTAAAACTCTTAAAAACAAAAAGGAATTACAATACATTTTACCATTTTCTCCATTTCTCAGGGTTTGGAAAAACAAATAAGACAGAAATAAAAACAACAAGAAATGCCAGGAAAAGGTGATTCCCACTGAGAAGCGCTGCTCACATCCAGCCCCACCCCGTCCACTCTGCTGGGTGAAGGTGTGATTGTCTAGGTGAGCTCCTGCCAACTGCCCTTAGGACAGTCTGACTGACAGGCAGGAGGTGAAATTTCTAACATGTTTCTCATTTCTTCTCCATTTCCATTTCCATTTCCATTTCCAAGTTGAGGACCGCCCACTAACTGGCCTGAGGCGGCCTGGGGTGGGGAGGGGGGCAGTAAGGCAAAGGTCACTGAGGATGACAAATCGGGAGCCTCTGGCCTTCAAAATGGTGACGACTCAGAACCTGTCCTTCCGGAAGGACCGGGGGTTGGGGATCCTTTCAGCTCAGAGGACTGTGGGGGACGAAGATGAGTCCCGTGGCTCCCGTCGTAAGCCCAGGGGGCACGATAAATGGGGGAACCCTGAGAACAGGCACGCGGCACCCGAGAGACTAGGAAAGGACCCCGGAGCCGACCTACCCCAGGACCCGCCTGCCAGGGGGCAGGAAGGTCACCCTGTGGCAGGAAGCAGAGGGAGGGCCCCGCTTGGCGGCCACAGCTGCTCTGCCCACTCGTCACTAAATCCCCACACGCCAGGTGCAGAGACACAGCAGAGGCTCGGGGGCACAAAGCCAACAAGAGCCAAGGTGCGCCTCCCACGGCGAGGAGCCGCCTGCGTCCTGTGATAGACAGAGGCCTGCGTTCACTTTGTCCCCAAGCCCTGCTGTAGCGACACCTGTTCAAGGAGCCCCAGGGAGACAGGGTCCCAGAGGCGCCAAAGGCTGTGCAGCACCCAGCATGCTCACCTTTGCATTCAGCCCTCGGGGGGTTGGGGGCAGGAGGAAGGTGAGAGGCGCCGGAAGGCCCCACATTAACCAGCAAAACTACTGAGATGGACGGACCCCAAGGCTAACGTTTAGCCCCCACATTCCCAGGAGCAGGTGCTTGTGGAAATGCGAGAGCCATTTCAGAGGACGAATCCTATTTGTCCGCACACCTGAGCATGAGACACGTGCAACCTTGCTCACAGGTACACTGTGACCTGGCTGCTCCTTACCCTCCCAGCCTGACCCCCACCCTCCTGCCCACAGGCTAGGCCCTCTGGGCTGCCTCTCACCTCAGGGCCGTGACACCTGCTGTTTCTCCTACACTGTCTTCCCCTGGTTAAGTCCCACACACGCTTTTCTTTTTCAAAATATACTTTCATTGATTTCAGAGAGGAAAGGAGAGGGAGAGACAGAAACATCAGTGATGAGAGAGAATCACTGATCGGCTGCCTCCTGCACGCCCCCCACTGGGGATGGAGCCCACCACCCGGGCATCAGAGGTCGATGCCCAGCCACTGAGCCCCACTGGCCGGGCCTACACACTCTGACTATATCATCTTAGAATCACTTCCTCCAAGACACTAATCCTTCGAATTCCAATTCCATGCCTCTCCTTGAAGACCCATGACGCCCTACACGTCCATATTCTGGCGCACCTGTGCGATGTAGGCTAGTCTGACCTATGACTCCAGGGGACTGGTCCCTGTGACAGGAGGGGGATGCTGACGGCACCTTCTCTGAGGTACCCTGGGCTCTCTGGGCAGACGCCAGCCCTGGAGCCTGCCGTTCCATGACACTGTCTTCAGGAGGCACGCACGGTCACAGCCTGAACTCATGGGCTCGGGGGTCAGGGCCCCCCTGCAGTTCAGAAGGTCTACGATCCATCATGACTTCAGGGCTGGACTCAATGTCTCTGGCTTACAGGGAACTCGGAGAGACATTTCCACTCTAAGGGGTTCCTTCTAGGGAACCACAAAGAAGCGCATCGCAAGCAAGATCAGGAGAGAATGCCACACAAACGACAGCGTACGTGAGAGAGGGGGCCTGGAGAAAGTGGAGGAAGTCCGCCCAAAGCCCACCTTTGCAGTTAATATCGGCAACGGCTTCGTTCTTCTCCACGGTTTCCAGCAGCTTCCTCACCTCCTCGGCGTGGCCGTTCCTGGCATGATGGAGGAGTTGCTGCTCTGCCTCTGTATTCATCGCTACATTAAGAAACAGCACAGCGGGGGGAGTTAGTGGGGGGAGGAGACATGTGTGCTACTATTTGTAATACTTTAAACAATAAAATAAAATTTTAAAAAATATAAAAGAACACAGCGGCTCTCGCCGAAGAACGTGAGACACTTTAGGTAGCACCTGCCGACACAGGGGAAGGCCCTGGCGGGGGGCTCTGGAGGCTGGGGTGTCGCCCAGGCCGACTCCCAGGCAGGGCACGTGCCTCCCTGCTCATGGGGCTGATGAACTGAGGATAATCATTCTTATAATTTTGTTCAAGATATTGCTGATTTTTAAAAATCTTTGATTTCCAAACATAAGGAGACATCCGCATTGTTATCCAGGCCCTTCCGCCAGCCGACAGAGGCTGATAAATTAGTGACGTGCATTCCCAATGTGCTCCCGGGACGTCGCAGACCACAGCTCACAGCCAGGAGACTCTGTCCCTTGAGGAAGACGGGCATTAACAGCCTCCAGCGTTGCAGGAGGAACCCCGTCATCGGGAGCCTCACTGCGAGCCGAGCAGACACCAGCCCCACCTGCGTGGAGATCAAACCTCAAGGACAAGAAGCAAATACTCAAAGACAGGCCGCGCCCCGGCCACCAGCCACCACCCAGCCTGCGCGCCCCCAAATTAACGCCGGCTGCGTGTGTCCTCACCTGTTTGCCAGCACTAATAAGTGTTATACTTGTTCTTTAGGCTTCTCTCAAAGCTATGGATGTAGCCCAACTGCTAAAAATTGCTGAAGGTGTGTAAGGTGACTTCTGTATTATCGATAATACTCTTTATACGGTTTCTCTTTTGAAATTTAAAAGAAATGCTATTGCCAAAAGAAGAAAAGCTGTATATACACACACATACACGTATAGTATATGTGTATATGTATATATATATTTTTTTAAAGAAGTTAAAAGGAATAGTTTGTCCTAATAAGTTGGTTATTTCTGAGTGAATAAAAAGAGACAAACTAAGAACACTGTATACTTGGAATTTGAATAGAGAAAAATTAAATGCATTTATAAACCAATACACATATTTTACAAATTAAATCTTGAAAACATTTTTAAAAATCTATAATGTGCTTTGTTAGCACTACATTCCAAGGCAGCTAGTTGCTCAATGGTGTGGGGATTTTCCAATATTATATTCTGTTAATGAGGAAAATATTAAAAATTAAAGTAATTATGTAAAAACAGCAAGAAAATAAATTTTGCTCTCAATCATATTAGCTCCTAGCAAACAACCAGTAAGTTCTCTAAAATAGGAATATATGTATATATGTATACATACACATACACACACGTATATATAAAACTATGACATTTGTGTTAACAAAAAACAATGCATTTTTGTTTTAGAAATTGCACATTAGTAAACAGACTCATATTTAACACTGATTTCAGAGATGAAGGAACTGAGAAGTACAAAGATAAAGTCACTTGCTGAGTACAGTATTCCAGTAAAGCCACAACCAGAACCTACACCTTTTAAACAAGGGGTGAAATAACAGCAATGCTATCTACTTCATAACACTCAAGCCAGCCTCTAAAATTAAATGCAGGGGGCGGGGTGGACTAGAGGGGTCAACGCAGGGAACAGGGCACATATGTAATATTTTCAACAATAAAGATTTAAAAAAAAATAAAATTAACTGCCACTGATTCTAGGAACTGTTCACGTGTGAGCATTGAGGAAACCGACTCTGAATTATAAACTAATCTCATTTTAAGAAGCTTTATTTCCTAACTGAAGTGAGATATTCAAAACACAGCAATCTAAGGACAACCACAGAAAACTGTAAAGTCTATTTTAGGAAACACTCATTCCTTCTTTTAGAAATAAAAAAAAAATAGCCCTAACCAGTTTTGGCTCAGTGAATAGGGCAGGGGTCCTCAAACTTTTTAAACAGGGGGCCAGTTCACTGTCCCTCAGACCATTGGAGGGCCGGACTATAGTTTAAAAAAAAAACTATGAACAAATTCCTATGCACACTGCACATATCTTATTTTGAAGTAGAAAAACAAAACGGGAACAAATACAATATTTGTATTTGCATGTGGCCCGCGGGCCGTAGTTTGAGAACCCCTGGAATAGAGCGTCGGCCGGCAGACTCAAGGGTCCCGGGTTCAATTCTGGTCAAGGGCATGTACCTGGGTTGCAGGCACATCCCCAGGCGGGGGTGTGCAGGGGGCAGCTGATCGATGTTTCTCTCTCATCGATGTTTCTAACTCTCTATCCCTCTCCCTTCCTCTCTGTAAAAAATCAATGAAATATATTTTTCAAAAAATAAATAAATTGAAAGTCATTTAATTTTTAATTCAGTGAAGATTTACTCTCACTTCCTCAAGGAGAGTTGGTGCCCAGGCAGGGCACGGTCTCCCACGGGCTATCCTCTAAGGCTCCACGCACAGGGTGCCACCATTGCAGCCCCTGTGGACGCTTACATCTGACATCCCCTGACCTTCTCCTGTTCAGACTCAGGCCCACCCACATGGCCCTGGATGCCACACAGACATGAGGAAGGGACAGTCCTACTTGCTAAATATTTACCTTTACCTTTATGCAGCTGAAAATGTCAATGTTTATCAAAACTGGTGAAAATTAAATAAGTGTCATGGCTTTGCTTTATGCAACTCTTTCAACCTTAAATTGCTATGCATTTTATCTGCTTCAACAACCAAGAGCAAACCCTTAGACACACCCCTGATTTGAATTTCAACCTGATTCTGAAAGCTATCAGCTACTGTTTCAAAACAGGCTGGAGCCAGCAGAGTCAGTGCAGAGAAGTCCACCATTAGATAAGTCATTTTAGATACTAAAAATACTAACCAGAAAGCTGAATGCCACCTTTTCATGATAAAATTCCTTAAACTTTAGACAAAACGTATTTAAATGTTTCCCATTTTGATTTCCCATTTAAAGCTGTCTTCCAAACTAATGTCCAATGCTGGCCAGCTGCACACAAATCCAGAAGTTCCTCTTTAAAGGAAAACTTTAAAGCAAGAACATGTGGTTACTTTCCATCGTCATATGATGCAGTGGTTCTCAGCCTTCTGGCCCTTTAAATACAGTTCCTCATGCTGTGACCCAGCCATAAATTTATGTTCGTTGCTACTTCGTAACTGTCATGTTGCTACTGTTATGAATGGTAAATATCTGATATGCAGGATGGTCTTAGGCGACCCCTGTGAAAGGGCCGTTCGACCGCCAAAGGGGTCGCGACCCACAGGTTGAGATCCGCTGTACGATAGGAAAATGTACAGTTAGGAAGTGCTTTCACTACATAGCAATTTCCTATGTGTCAGCTGACGAATCCAAGAACTCAGACACAGTCAGTGACCTAACATAACCTCTCACTAAAAGCCTTAAAACGATCTCTCACATTTGCCCACCTTCCTAGTGGGGGAGGTCAGGTAAGGAAAAATCCAACATTTCTAGGCATCAAGGACCTCCTATAATTATATGGCATTATGATCATCAACATATCCTGTACAGAATTTATAACAGTATCTCTTTTTCTATTGATTTCAGAGAGGGAGGGAGAGAGAGAAACATCAATGATGAGAGGGAATCATCAATCGAATGCTTCCTGCACGCTCCCTGCTGGGGATCGAGCCTGCAACCCGGGCCTGTGCCCTGGCTAGAAATCTAACCGTGATCTCCCGGGAGATCGACCTTTAGCCACTGAGCCACCCCAGACGGGTCAACAGTATCTTTTTTGACGCCTCATTAATGAATTCTGGTGAGTTGATATAAGCTGACCTCTTTCTAGAACAGGAAAGAAATTACCAGTCACCCATCAAGTTCTGATTACCATCAGGTTGGGCTTGAAAAAAACTGACAAGGTTCCTAACCACTTCAGATGTCTCACACACACACTTGCTACCTTAATCTTTCTCCTCCATGTGTTGTCAGTTAAGCTGCTTTCTACTTTGTACTGACCACTTTTCTCAGTGAATATATATAATACAGTGGGGCCTTGACTTACCAGTGTCCCGACTAACGAGTTTTCTGAGATACCAGGTGTCTCTTGCTGATTTTTTGCTTTGAGTTGACAGAGTAATTTGAGTTAACGAGCTCTTTAACGAGCTCAGTCTCGGAAGGAATTAAACTCCTAAGTCAAGGCCCCACTGTATACAAAACTCAGCTTCTATTAATATCTAGAGGTAAGAAATTGCCACAACAGCCCTAGCAATTTGGCTCAGTGGACAGAGCAACAGCCTGTGGACTGAAAGGTCCCGGGTTCCATTCTGGTCAAGGGCACATGCCCAGGTTGCGGGCTCGATCCCTAGTAGGGGGTTTGCAGGAGGCAGCCGATCCATGATTCCTTCTCATCACTGATGTTTCTATCTCTATCTCTTTCGCTCTCTCCTCTCTGAAATCAATAAAAAATATAATTTTTAAATCGCCACAACAAAATTCCAACCAAAAAATCTGCTACAGATGGCGCTGGCAGGTTCTCAGTTAGAGCATCGGCCCTCGGACCAAAGCGTCTCAGGTTCGGTTCCTGGGCACCGGCACGTCCCTCAGCTGCAGGTTCAATCCCTGGCCCCCGTCAGACAACCAGTCGATGCGTCTCTCCCCCTCTCTTCCACTCTCTAAAAAATAATAACCAATGGAAAAAACATCCTCACTTCTTGGGTAAAGATTTAAAAATCTGCTATAGATGTAGCTCTAAGTAAAATAAGTACACAAGGAAAAATTTTAAATTTATTTAATAGACACGGCACCATGTCGCTCCAAAGAACCTGGCTGTACTCTTAGTTGTTGGTTCTAAACAAGTTATTTCCCTTCGCCTTAGGCGGGAGTGGGGAGCAGTGTGTTGCGAGAAGCAGCATCTACAGGTGGAGTCACACCTGCCGGACAGCTGCCTCCGGAGCCCAGGGTTCCGCCGCCACGTTCTGGTGGAGTCAGCTGATGGCAGGCGCTGGCAAGGCCCGTGCTGGGCTCCCCCGCCTGGGCTCAGGCCAGGCCCCTGCAGCCCGA